ATATTTCGTCGACAGCATGCGGAACGATGCTTACTCCTTTCAACATCTTCTGAAGGCGCTCAAGCACCTCCTCATCAGTCAACTCAAGGGCAGGGACCATACGAGAAGGATCCTCCGCCACAGAGTACTCAAAACCATAATTTTCTCGCTCCTTCAGAGGCTGAACACGGCGGCGAAGAAAACTGGAAATGATACCGAAGCCGGTCAAGCCCTGCTATTTCAGAGTACATATCCTCTCAAGAAACGGCTTGATCGCTTGGAGCTCATCCGTCGTCAGGGGATTCTTTTCCCATCGGTCATTAACCACGGGACCAGAACCAGAATGAACATCAAGAGGAGGAATCAAATTGACGGCATAAAACCAGTCAGCACGCCAATCCCTCATAGAATCAACCAAGTCATAATCAAAGAATTTACTCTTAAGGCCCTGATGAAACTGAATCCCGCAGCCACCAAGAACATGGGTGTCATCGCGGCGGGGTTGTGGTTTCAGACGGAAGAAGTAACGAAAGAGAGAAAGAGAAGAAGGAATTCCAAGAAAAGTTTCACAAAGATGAAGGACAACATTGGGAGCAAGATGGTTCAGGCTAATCCCAAAATAACTGAGAAATCGGTGAAGAAAAGCAGAAGCAGGAAGGCAGAGTCCGGCACAGATAAAGGAGACAAAAAGAACAATCTCACCAAGACCTAGAGTTGGGACCCGATGCTTGCCTAGAGCTCTCCAATCAGCAAACTCCTTGCCCTAGATCAGACCATCACTGACAAGCTCGTGCAACTGATCCTCAGTTGTAGTCGGAGCCAACCAAATCTTCTGAGCAGCCCTCATGGCCATGAATTCTTGATTTTCAATCACAGAAAGCGAAGCCTCCTCGTCTACAAAGGTTGCCTAGGACTTGCTCGCTGATTTCTTCCTACCCATATACTAGCGAAAGCAATAAAGCACTAAGAAGCAGTGAGGCTCAGACGGCGGCGCTCAGAGGACAACGATAATGGCGGCGGTGGAGTTTTGAAGACTAGGGTTTCAAGGCAAAAGCAGGGCAGCAAAGAAAAAGAAGAAGAAAGGCCTTTAAAAAGATTTTACAGCAATAAAAACGTGGCCCACCAGGCCCGTTTAAACATGGCATGAGAACGCAATGATTCATTTCTCACAACAACTGACACAGCTGAAATGACGGACGGCACACTTCTACACAACTATACAGTTCAACGAGCAGATTTCAGACTTATCCATCCAGCACAACGGCAGAGTTATCATATTACTACAAAAAGAACTCATCAACCATGAAGCAACGAAGGGTTACCTCACAAGGAACACAAGAACCCGGTTCTTATAGAAAGAACTCGGGAATCTCGTAAACAACCAGGACTTCAACAGGAAAAAGAATGACAACTCAGAAGACAAGATTCTTTCCATTATAAATGGCTTCAAAAAATACAAGATTACACATGTTACAAGACCCAACGAACTCGGAACTACGACAAGCAAGGTAGCAAAGAGGAACCCGGACACAACTAGGCTTTGGAACGACTACGTGTTCCAAATTGCTACTCGGTAGAACAAACCGCACTCGGCTACACTATTTTCTTTAAAGGAAGAACGCAGCACATCCAAGGCGGAGATCAGCAGCATGGCGGGACAACATGGACCAAGAGAAGCCTGCAGGCATCTGTCTACCCAAGTCCGATGTGATACCGGATATGGTGTTGATCTGCACTGACTGACAGTCGCAGAGCAGGCGAGGAAGATCAACCTAGAACTGCTGGATGAAGGAACATATCCCACATCACAAGACTTCCTCCAACTACCGCCACGTAGTTCCCGGTACAATGCTGCTGCGAGATTAGTCTACCTCTAATCACTATCACAAGACTTCCTCCAGCTACGACAAGATATACAAGAACTACAAAATACGTCCCGGGGGTTGCTATACTTCATAAACTATCATATTCATGAATACGGAGATTTCAGACCACGCAACAAAATGCTCGATGAATCAAAACAGCACACCAGGAGGGTATTTATAGACCAAAGAAGCGGTGCACATGGACCGGGAGCACCAACGGAGCAAACCTAACAAAGGACATAGTGAAGAGACATAATTCAATGAAAGAGGACTCAGGCGTGAAGAAACGGTACGCAAGAACGAGCATATTCGGAAGAATATACCAACACTGTATAACTCGTGAACAAACAACATTTACTCTCAACCACCATCATACAACTACATCTGACAAAAGCAGACTACCAGAGAACATGCCAAGATCCTGCATCCGAGTTCTTTTTGAACAAAAGAACCCAGGTATATGCTCGGGGGCTGCAACAGGAGAGGTTTTCAGTTCTTTGAACAACTCATATTCAAGACCCTCCAACTCTTTGTTCCAAATAGCAAGAGACTCGGGGGCTACACTCAGTGAGTGCACTTTTTTCTTAGAAAAAGCGCAAGTCACCAAGAAGACTTCTTCAAGACAAGCAATAAGATTCAAGACCCTCAAACTTTTTATTCCAAATAGCAAGAGGCTCGGGGGCTACACTCAGTGAGTGCACTTTTTTCTTCAAAAAAGCGCATGTCACCAAGAAGACTCCTTCAAGACAGACCATTTCAAAAGCTCACGACAAAAAGAACCTGGACCGAACTATATCTGAGTTCTTTTTGATAAAGAACCCGGGTATATGCTCGGGAGCCCTTTGACGAAGAATCAGAGCAATTTCAAGACAAGACCCTCCAGCTCATTGTTTCAAAAAGTAAGAGGCTCGGGGGCTACACCCAGATGGGTATACTTTTTCTTCAAAAAAAGCACAAACCACTCGAAGATCCCAAGAAGCACTACACGGTTTCGCTCAAGAAAGCACTCGGACGACGCTTGTTCCTACTTGGCAAGACCTGAAGGAACAAGACGAGGCTTCCGGAGCTCAACCATGAAGTGCTCGGGGGCTTATCGATGCGGGACCCACGGGATACCCCGCAAGGAAGGGAGAAGATCTAGTCTAACTAGGATTCTTCCCATATAATCTTAATAGTAGTATTATTCTGTAATCCTACTAGAAACTCTCATTGTAAACCGATTAGGACTCTAGCCTCCTGACTATATAAAGGAGGGTAGGGTTCCTGGAGACGAGAGAGTCTTCAGACAATCAATCAAACGCAAAGGCTAACACCGACTGGACGTAAGAGCTATTACTCGATCACGATCGAGGGTCCAAACCAGGATAAATTGACTGTCTCTTGCGTTTACCATCGAGTTCTGCATACGCTGAAGCCCGAACAAACTGCCCCGGGTACCCCTGTGGCAGGCTATCGGTGGTGAAACATCGACACCGCCCCTGCCTTCCACCACCGCTGGTCCTCCTCCCTTCCCCCTCCATTGTCTTGCTGGAGGCCGAAGGAGTGGGGATCCATCATTTTTAATAAATTTTCTAGTAGATCTAGTCCTTAGGGTTATGGTCTCTGCATGCCAAGTTTCTTGGTATTGGGGATTTATCTCCTTCTCCTCCTCCTCTCCGGCAACGGCGAGGGGCCAGGGTGAAATCATTTTCTCCGCTCTGTTGAAGATGAGGGCAGCAATTGCGGCATCAACAACTTCATCGGCATGACAACATGGAGACCTTTCTTTCGAGACGGCGACATCAAGGCGGAGATGATGTCGCTACCATGGAATAATTTTCTCTAGTCTCTTTTCCGTTTTGTTGTGGTTAGATCTGGCCACGATGAAGGACCGAGGAGAATAAGTTTCAGATCATTCTTCCTCATTCTTCGGTGGCAGAAAGAAGAAGAAGGAAGACATAAGAAAGAAGAAGTTTCTCAACTCCGCATGCAGGAACATTGGCCGTCGTTCGTTAGACATATGTTCTCAAGCCTTTTGCCGAGTGTTTGCCTGGTGGTCATCCATACAAAGCGTCATATAAATTTGGTTTTGAGATTTGGAGTTATTCACAGCGTGGGTGTAATTTAGATGAAAATCAGTTTCTGGATATATGTAATGTATAGTGCTTGTAACGTGTTGATGTATCCAGCTATTATCTAATTTAATTCTTTGGTCGAAAAAAAAGACTTGGATCTTCATCCCTACAGGAACACCGACGAGGGGATTGTGGTGGCGTTGTGATTGGCTGTGGCGGTCGCGGGTAGATTGAGAGAGAGAGACCGAGAGAGAGAGAGAGAGAGAGAGTAGGGAGATTAGGAGACGGAGAGCGAGTCATAGGGGATAAACAGGACGAGTTGTCACGACTGTGCATGCGTGCGACACAGTTGCTGTTTAGTCTACAATGATTATGTATTCTTGACTCCCGGCCTTATGTTGTTTGATCGTGGTATTAGATTTGGCAATTTGGAACCTGTATACCTACACTCCCTGAGCTTTTGTTGCCTAGCTGGCTCATTAAGTAAACGAGCTAAACTACTGGTCTAGCTTGTTAAAAAATGTAGACAAACCAAGTCATACCGAGCTACTTACAAGTTGAGTCGAATGAGTTATCCGCCTACGAGGTTTTCATCCGGCCTACTTACGAAACTTACAGGCTATTTGGTTTGGGGAGTGGTCCCATCCAGCGTTAGCATGTCTGGCATAGGGCAGTGGCGGGGCCAGGAATTATATATAGAAAACAGTAAAAAAATCAATATATATAAACTGATCGTAGCTCGTCTGTTTAGGTCTTTTTAAGGTGCATTTGTTGCACTTAGAACTTTGATTTTATTACTAGTTAAGTACACGTTCAGTGAAATGTAAAAGTATGATGAAATGCAAGTACACATTTAGTAAAACCTAAAATTTTATTAAATCTGTTCTAATATGGTAAGGCAAAAGAGTTTAAATAAATTAAAATGTTCTATTTTAATTGTATTTTTATGTGAATTTGTTATCTAGAAGATATAAAAAAATATATGACAATTTTTTATTATATCTTGCTAACATAAATGTAGATTATTAAATTATGTACTATGTAAACGTTTTGTTATGCTGTTTGGGGGGAACCCTCCTCCCGCTCTGCCCTGGCGGCGGATATGAGTTACGTAGACCCGGTGTACATGAAGACGGGTCGTTCCACCGAGAATAGCGAGGTGTATAGCTTCGGTGTGGTGCTCCTGGAGCTCATCACTCGGAAGATGGCCAAGTACGACGGCAACAGGAGCATGCCCATGGACTTTGTCACGTCCTGCAAGGACGAGGAGGGCAACGTCAGGAGAGCAATGTACACGACAAGGACATCTTGGATTTGAGGTACTCATACACATATCATTCTTGTAGTAGTGGTATACCCTATACCTATTATTTCGAGTTTTTTTACTATGGAAAGGCAATAATCACGATAGAAATGACATCCAAACACCTCTGTCTCACCTCTCTCTCACCTCTCTCTCTCTCTCTCTCTCACACACACACACACACCTTTTAACCAAAAAATATGGATTCTAAATCACAATAAGAACTTGTTTGGTTTGGTGAGGATTGAGAGGAGAGCGGTTTTAATCCCCTTTGAAACCGTTACATTGATCCAATCCCTTTGGATATGAAATTAACCAAACAAGGCCTAAAACTGAAGATCCAAAAGGCCTGATTGAGTTTTCTTTTTTGATCCTCAACATGGCTCTAAGGCCTTGTATTATGAGACTGATGCTCAGCTAAGTCACGACAAGCCATAGCGATTACACAGTCTATCTTTACTATATCCATACAGGCTGTTTGGCAGGCTGTTTCACAGCCGCTGTGGCTGCTGCAGGCTGTATTCTTACAAGTTACTGTAAAATTGTACCAGTTACAGCCAGCAGCAGCAACAGCCAAACAGCTTTAATAAATATAACCGTTTTGTCGATTCGAGTACTTCACTGTTACCTGTGGATATCTCGGTATATAGCTTTGGGCCTTGGATATATCGGTATATTGTTATATAATATATATTGGTCGAGAGGACAAACAGAAAAGCAGTCTGTGTTGAGCTTGCGCGCCATATGCAAGTGATCTTTATGATCAATCGCGTTCCAACAAATCGGTGCGTGCTGCAGCTACACTTTCGCATGGCACGGCACGTCGTCTTCTGTTCAACGACTGGACTGCACAGCGATAGCGGCTCAGTCAGTCTGCTTTTGTGTCGTCGTGGATCCAACAAACGCCAATTTTGCCCTCACTCCCTCAGGCAGCTGAAACCCAAGGGTCGCACAAACATTGGACCTCGTCCGACGGCTACAATCGCGCTGGGCGCCATGCGCCACGACCGGCCCAAAGGCCACGCCACGCGCGACAAACGGTGTCCGCACGGGCAGCCCCCCCGCCCAAAAATAGCCCGCCTCCGCAAGCATATATAAACCTGGCCTCGCCGCCCCGTCCCTCACCGCACCACAACAAGCACAGAGACACCAAAGCGTCAAACTCGACACCCAGCCAGCAAAGCAACCAACCCGAGAGAGCAGCTAGGCACCGTACGTACCCATGGCTCGCGCTAGCGTCGTCTTCGCCATCGCCGCTCTCCTCTTTGTCGCCATGGCCGTGGCGCCGCTGGCCGCCGAGGCGAAGGAGTCCGCCGACGCCCCCACTGCCGACGCGCCGGCCGATGGACCCAGCGCGCCGGTGGGTGCCCCTGGTCCCCAGGGCGTCGATGGCCTGTCAGGCAACGAGGACGAGGACGATGACTCCACCAACTGAGGCCGGCCGAACACGTCGTCCTAGCTCGGTTCCGAAGACGAATGGTCCGGTTGAATTTGGAACAGGACATGGAAGAAAAGCGAGAGCAATGTCGTTTGAAGTGAAGCCATAATAATGTGTGGTCGTCCGTGGATATGTTCTTGCTCTCCCTCTTTTTTTTTTCTGTTTGATTTTCGATGTGTTATCTTGTTCTTAGCAACTAATTGTATCGACTCTTGATATCAAGGACTCCAGAATTTATCGTTTCTGTGTTTCTGAGCCACTTGAGAGTCTGAGTCTGAGACGGCGAGCGATTCATCAGTCATCATTCATATGCATGCTTGGTTCACGATGGTAGTTTTTTGTAGGCTTCCCTGCTTTCCTCTGCTGCACAAAAGGCCGCCTTCTTGTTCCTCTGTTCTCAAATAGTCAAATTCCATTTATATTTCTCTTCGAAATCAATGCGACGCTGATTTCCCTAGCTTTGCAATTTGCGTGGATTTTATGGGGGATTATCTAGACTCCATACTTCATAGAGCCTTTTCTGGAGCTCTTACACACAACTCACAAAGCCAAAATGCCATGAGCTCGTAGCTAACCCCGCTTTAACAATATATGGTATCTGTTTTTTTCTTTCATATCTGTGGTATTTCTTATATATATAATAATATACATACCAAATTATAGTGTCAAACATTATTGTTCCGTATACGTGCAGGGCGTGTCCGTCACTAGTTTGTCCTAAAAAATGCAAATCTAAAAGCATTCTTGATTAAAGTGTCAAAGTTTAACCAAATATATATAAAAATAAAAATACTAATGTTTTTGACATCAAATGAGTGTACTATAAAAATATATCTCATAAAGCATCTAATACTTATTTGATATAAAAAATATTTATATTCTTTATATATAATTAATTAGATTTGAGATATTTTAAGTCGAATACTGGTTTTTTCTAGAGGGAGTGAGTACTAAAAAAACCAGAGGGACGAGTCACGTGCCATTCCGAGGCCGGAACGGAAGTAGGACTGTAGGGTAGCGTTTGATTGAGAGTCAAGGTGGGGTGGGACAGTCCCGACTCTAGTTTCTAGATGGGACGGAGACGGAACAATTTCAATTTCTGTTTGGTTGAAGAGGGATGGGACGAACCCTTTCCCTTTTCTATTTGGTCTGGGGACATCAAGGTAGCGTTTGGTTGGGAAGCAAGATGGGATGGGATGGATCTAACCTAGTTTTCAGAGGCGGGATGATCCCATTTGTTGTTTGGTTAAGAAGGGATGGAATAACTTTGTTTCCTGTTTGGTTTGAGGACATAAAAAGTGGGATCAGGCACCTGACATGTGGAGCCCACCCATCAGCCTAATTTTTTTTGTTTCCTCCTCCTCTCTGTCTCTCTGTTTGTACGCGCACACCATTACCGCGAGTTCAGCACGGCAGGGCTAGGGGCGGAGAGGCCCTCGCGGTGGTGGCCGGTGGGGCTGGGGCTCGACCTCGCCTGTTGAAAGGTCATTGTTTGGTTTTGGTAATTGAGTGACAATCTTAGGTGGACTAATATGTGGTTGGGTGAGATACACAGGTGATTAGTCTACAGGTACTTGTGTGAGCAACTCATGCTATGATGGTGAAGATGGCTTGGATTTGTTGCAAGGCTCACACATGTGATGAAGGATCTCATTGCATATGAGATATGACATGGAGTCATATGATCAAGGTGGAGAAGATCAAGACAAGACTTGGCTCGACGGACCGGTTGCAAGAGTGAATGACAAGTTGAGTGATGACTTGGCGCCGATAGACCGAGGCAACGGTGAAGAGTAAGTGAAGTCAAGATCGATGAACCAATACGGTCACGTGATGATATGAAGTGGATCATATCATTTGGTGTTTGGTTAGTGCATGTGTTGCATCGACATCGAATGAGATGGAATGGAATGCACAAGGCAAAGATATATTTATAGGGCATTTTATTTCACAATCAAAAGTTGTGTAGAGAAGTGCATGACCAGGTTTAGGATAGATGGCCGTACTATCAAGACGGGCAAACTTGTTTGCATATCGGTCATCTAGTGCCACTCAAATGATCTAACTTTGCATCATTGCTAAGATCAAGTGGCGTGGCAAGTTGAGTGACTAATCCTTTGAAAACATAATTGTGAAAATGCTAACACACATACACATGACGGTGTACACTTGGTGGTGTTGGCACATTTGCAAAGGAGAATAAGTTGGTGAAGAAAAGGAGTTGAAAGCGCTGGTCACGGGGTGACCGGACACGTCCAACATGTGGACCGGACGTGTCCGGTATCTGACTCAGGCGGTAGAGTTCCCGACGTGACCGGACGCGTCCGATATCTATACCGGACGCGTCCGGTATTCTAGCCCAGGCGCTGGCAGAGTTGCCGAGGTGACCGGACTCTGGCTCGTAGCAGTGACCGGACGCTGAGCAATCACTGTTTAGCGTCAGTTCGTGGTGACGTGGCATGCAGGTGTTGACCCAGAAAGGAGCAAACGCAGGGGCGCGTCCGGTCGGGCGTACCGGACACGTCTGGTCGGTCCTCAGCGGCTCTGGGAGCTCTCTGGACTCGACCTGACGCTGCCTCACCTGTGTCCGATCGTTTTCAAGCTGTGCGTCCGATCAAGTGGTGTCCACACGTGTCAGAGCTAGCCGTTGGATGCCAACGGCTACTTCGTTTGAAGAGGGACACGTAGAGGTCGAGCTACGACTGGATGCATGAGCTGCGCGTTCGGTCAGTGCGCAGAATGCCTAGTGAATGGGTAACATCTAGTTCAGCCCGTGGGGATATAAATAGAAGTGGTGGCCGGTCTTTGGCCAGTCGCTGAGCACACTAGAGTCTTGGTGGCTTCTGTGGTGGTGCTTGGGAGCCCTCTAACTCACTCTTGCTTGATAGTGTTCGTCCGATCGAGTGAATGAGCGATTCTAGTGCGATTACATCGAGTGGCACTAGATGATCGAGTTGTAAGCTGGTGGTGCTTGTTACTCTTGGAGGTTGCCACCTCCTAGACGACTTGGTGGCTTGCGACTCCGTTGAAGCATGCGAGAAGATTATGCGGTGCTCCGGAGGAGGATTTGTGAGGGGGGTTGTGCACACCCCGCGGGGATTGCAAAGAGCAACTCTAGTTGAGCGTGTCATTGAGCTACCCTGACTTTCGGGGTAGGTTCTTGCGGTGCCCGACATGCGGGCTTGGCAGGTGATGCCAATTAGCCTCCGAACCACCAAGTGAGCGGTCGATACAACGGGGACTAGCGTGTTGGCAAGCACGTGAACCTCGGGATAAAATCATCGTGTCATCCTTGTCTTCCTGTTGGTTTGTGTCCTCGTTACACAAGCTTGTATTAACTTTCATATACTTGTGCTTGTGTAGTTGCTCTAGTAATTAGTTGACTTGTGTAGTTAGCTAGTTACCTTCTTGCTTGTATAGCATAGAAGTAGTTCCCTTGTGTGGCTAATTTGGTTTGAGTAACCTTGTTAGTCCCATTGCTTAGTTTGTGTAGCTAAGTAATTTGCGCTCTCTAATTTGGCTTGTGTAGCCTTGTTATTGAGCATTGCTAGTGAGCGTAGGAGCTTTGTGCTTTTGCTTACTAGATTGTGTAGGAGCTCTCTTGGTTGCGCAAAGTACTAGTGAATAGGTTTGTGTGACCTTGCTCTAGAATTGTTTATGTGAGCTCTAGCTAGCCCGACACCTTTGTTGCTTCATTAGGATCTTTGTAAGGTGCTTGTGAACTTAAATAGAGGAGTGTAGTCTTGGCTAGACCGATAGTTTTAATTCCGCATTTGTTTCGGTTAGCCGACGCGTTTAATTTTTAGAAAAAGGACTATTCACCCTCCCTAGTCCGCCATCTCGACCCTACACGTGGTATTGGAGCTTGATCTCTCATTTGTGGTCTTCACCGACCCGAGAGGATGGCGTCTAGTGGGATAGATGAGTGTCACACACACATTTTTATGGCACAAACTTTGCACATTAGAAAAATCACATGCTTGATCATTTTCGTGCAAAGGGACCTAAGTTTTGGTGGATTGTCACTAGTGGTCTCACTCATGTCTTGGACTATAGAAATCTAACCAAAGTTGAATTAGTTCTCTTTGAACTTGATGCACATGCTTATTGTTATCTAATGGATGCTTTGAGCTTTGATTTGATGAAAAAGTAAATTACATGTGAACCGCACATGAGATATGGAATCAATCGAGCACACCTTTGGTGATTCCTCCACATGGGATGATGGAAAGTTCAAGGAGGAGCCCAAGGAGAAGATGCATGAGTGTGTCGAGCATGACCGCAATTTGATGATTGTGGAAGATTGCTCCATCTCATGGTCAAGTGATGACGATGATGATCGATCCACTACAAGTTCACTTGACAAGATTGATGGTGATGCCTCAAGTGATGCAAATGATGACTTTACCTCAAGCACACTTGATGGTGTTGATGATGGTTCATGCTCGGACCATGATCATGATGTAACTATAAGCTCTCCTACATCACCACATTGCTTCATGTCACAAGGTGACACTAAAGTATCTAATGCTAAGGTGGTTGATCATGTTGATTTATATGATGAGCTTGTTAGTAGACTTGCTAGCATGACCATGTCTTTAGAAAATGAGAAAGCTAAAACATTGAAATTAAAAAAAGAAAACTCATTTCTAAAGAACTCATGTGAAGAACATAAGCACTTACTTGATGTTCTTAAATCTTCACACGGTGAGCTAAAATTGACTCATAAGACACTACTTGCATCTCATGAGGAATTATTGGAACAACATGCTTCTCTTATTAAAGTGTTTTCAAAGAAACTTAAAAAAGAATTAGAGCTCATCACATGAGTTAAGTGATCAATTGCTACATGTGACTAACTCTTGTGATGTAGGGAAGAAGCATGTATCCACCTCTTGTGATGATTTATTAGAAATACCATGCTCTTCACATATAGATGCTTGTTCTACTTCCTTATCTTGTGAGACTAACCTTTTGAAGAAGAACAATGAGCTCAA